GAGATCCCGATTCCTCTGTAATCTGTGAGGGAGTCCTAAGCGTGAGCGCGACTCCTGGGTGCCTGGGTGTCGGGGGCGCGGCGCTTGAGTAAATTGCAGGAAATTCCAACGCAAGGGCGTTATTATTCAGTAAATTGCAAGCAAGTCTCCAGCGAGAGCGCGACTCCAGAGCGCCGGGAGAACTATACTTTAATAAATTGTAAGGAAGTCCCAAGCAAGAACGCGATTCCTGAATCAAGTGCGAGGAAGTTTCGGGCGGGAGCGGAGGTCCTGGCTAAATGGTGAGGGAGTCTCATGCGGGAGCACTTGTTGTTGTAACCCGGGGGCCAGGGCCCAATTTGAGCTTCAAGATCTTCACTAATTAAAAACATGGTGCGAGCGTCGAGGGGCACACTTTGATGGAGAAAAACAATATGCACCGGTGGGATCGGATCAACAATAACCAATCTTCCGAAATACGAGTTCAATCATTCTAAGACTGTTCGCTCTTACTTGCCCGCGTGCCCATTCAAAGCGAGTTCCCCACACCCTCGATACCCGTCCTTTTTGTCTTCGCTCACACCGCCTTTGGAGGGATTATTTCTCTTTGCGGGGGGCGGCGGGCGGACAGTCCTTCGTGAGCGTACGTGTGCCCGCCATTGGAATGGGTGTGGGCCCTGCAAAAAGAGGAGGGGCGGAACGAGGGAGAGCGGGAGGAAGGGAGGGGGAGGGACGAAGAAAGAGGGAAAACGCCAGGAGAGAAGGAGCGAAGAGGGGGGCGGCTTATCAGAGGCAGAGAGAGAGAGACAACAAAAAAAACAGAGAAAGACTGATAAGAGAGGTAGAGAAAGGGGAGAGAGAAAGAGAGAGAGAGAGAGAGGGGAAAGAGAGAGAGAGAGAGAGAGAAAGAAAAAACAACAAAAAAAAAAAAAAAACAAAAAAAAAAAAAAAAAGGGAGGGAGGAGGCAGGAGAGGGGAGGGAGAAGGGAGGAGGGAGAGGAGGGAGAGGGGATAGGGCAGAGAGGCATAGGGATGAGGGAAGAGGGGAGGGAGAGAGAGGGGAGGAGAGGAGGGAGGAGGGAGGAGGGAGAAGGAGGAGGAGCAGGAAGGTAAGAGCGTGAACGTTCGAGGAAGTCCTAGGCGAAAACGCCGTTCCTGAAGGAAGTCTCGGGCGGGAGCCCACGACGGGCGGGCGATCCCCTGACGGGCGGGTCGGGCAGATGGGACATTCAAGCGGGATGCCTGAGTATGGCGAGAGCGCGATTACGAAGTAAATTTTAATGGCGTCCTTGACGCAGCGTATTTCTGGAGCGTCGAAAGCGCGATTTCTGAATAAATCGCATGGAAGTCACAGGCGAGAACGCAACTCCTGAATAAAATGTGAAGGGCTCTCTGGCGGGAGCGGGGGTCTTGATTAAATTGCGAGGAAGTCTTGGTTCAATTGCGAGGAAGTCTCACGCGGGAGCGCCGTTACTGAGTAAATTGTGGGGCAGTCTCAGGCGGGAGCCGGGGTCCTGACTAAATTGCGAGGAAGTCACAGGCGGGAGCACCGATCCTGAGTAAATTGTGAGGAAGTCTTAGGAGCGGGGGTCCTGAGTAAATTGTGGGGAAGTCCAGGCGGGAGTCGTTGTTGTTGTAATCCGGGGGGGCAGGGGCCCAGTTTGAGCACCAAGATTTTCCCTGTCAAAACACAGCTTGTGAGCGTCGAGGGGCACACTTTGATCAAGGAAAAACAGTATGCACCGGTGAGGGGGGATCAACAATAATCATTTTTCAGAAATGAGAGTTCAACAACCACCACAACAACAACAACCAGAACCACAACCACAACCACAACCAAAAACAACAACAAGAACAACAAGACCAACACAACACAACAAAAACAACTCAACAAGCATAATCCTCACCACGGATTCTCACTTCAGCCACGCACCCAGGGACAATGAATGACCGTTCGGCCCCCTCACTCTGATAACCAACATCTTGGCTAAGGGCCCAACCTTATGCAGTTGTGAGAATCGCCGTCGTTGGTATTGCATCCGGTAGATCTCCCCATGGGGCCACGAAGCGTGTAAAGGGTGTGCCGAAATATGGCGGGGACACATGCGGGTGCAGCCATTGGGGCCTTCGCTGGCGCTCCCTATGGGGCCACGAAGCGTGCGAAGGCTGTGTCAAAATGGAGCGGGGCCGCCATGCCAGCGGCACCACTGGGGCCTTCGGTGGAGTTCCCTATGCGGCCACGAAACGCGTCAGGGATATGCCGACATGGGCGGGAAGGGGCGCATGCGAACGTTGCCAGTGTGGCCTTCGGTGTAGCTCCGCATGGGGCCACGAAGCGCGTGAAGAGTGTCCCGGAATGGGCGGGGGGAGGCGAATGTTATCACAGCCAGGGGGGGGGTCGATGGAGGTCCATATGGGGCCACGGCACGCCGTACTGGGTGGCGCGCGACGCATGTGGCCACAGCCACAGGGGCTTTCGGTGGAGCTCCCGATGGGGCCACGAAACGCCGTACTGGAGTTCCCGATAGAGCCACGTAGCGCCGTACTGGGTGGCGCGGGACGCATGTGGTCACAGCCATCGTGGCCTGGGTGGCGCGGGACGCATGTGGTCACTGCCACTGGAGTCTTCGGTGGAGCTCTTTATGGGGCCACGTAACGCCGTACTGGGTGGCACGGGACGAATGTGATCACAGCCATTAAGGCCTTCGGTGGAGCTCCCTATGGGGCCACCACGCAACGCCATATTGGGTGGCGCGGGGCGCATGTGTGGTCACAGCCATTGTGGCTTTCGGTGGAGACCCCCATGGGGCCACGAAGCGCCGTACTGAAAGGCGCGGGACGCATGTGGTCATAGCCGCTGGTGCTTTCGGTGGAGCTCCTCATGGTACCAGCAAGCGCCGTGCTGGGTGGCGCGGGACGAATGCGGTCACAGCCACAGTGGCCTTCGGTGGAGCTCCTTATGGGGCCACGAAACGCCGTTTTGGGTGGCGCGGGGCGAATGTGATCACAGCCATTGGGGCCTTCGGTGGAGCTCCCTACGCAACGCTGTACTGGGTGGCGCGGGACGCATGTGGTCACAGCCACTGGTGCCCTCGGTGGAGCTCCCGATAGAGCCACGTAACGCCGTATTGGGTGGCGCGCGACGCATGTGGTCACAGCCATCGTGGCCTTTGGTAGAGCTCCTTACATATGGGGTCACGAAACGCCGTACTGGGTGGCGCGGGACGCATGTGGTCACAGCCATTGTTGCCTTCGGTGGAGCTCCCTATGGGGCCACGCAACGACATACTGGATGGCGCGCGACGCATGTGGCCACAGCCACTGTGGCTTTTGGTGGAGCTCCCGATGGGGCCACGATACGTGTGGGGGGCCTGCCGAAATGGGAAGGGGGATGGGGAGGAGGGGCGAGGAGGGGCGAGGAGGAGGAGGAGGAACGCGGGGCACTGTCTCTCCAAAGCGAGGGCGAACACCACTGCATGGCTGGGGAAAGAAGGTAATGGTAAGACGTGAGGGAAACAGAGAGAGAGAGAGAGACGAAGAGAGAAACATTAATTATCCTGGCGAAGGACCCAAACATATGCAGTTGTGTGTAACGCAATGGTAAATACTGTCCTCGGTGGAACTCCCTATGGGGCCACGAACCGTGTGAAGGGCGCGCCGAATGGGGGTGGATCTGCATGCGAACTTTGCCACTGGGGCCTTCGGTTGATTTCCCTATGGGGCCACGAACCGTGTGAGTGGTGTGCAGAGATTGGGTGGAACTGCATGCGGATTTTGCCATTGAGGCCCTCGGTGGAGCTCCATATGGGGCCACAAACTGTGTGAGGGGTGCGCCAAAATGGTAGTGGAACTGCATGCGAGCTTTACCACTGGGGTCTTCGGTGGAGCTCACCATGGGGCCACGAACTGTGTGAGGGTTGCGCCGAAATGGGGGTGGAACTGCATGCGAACTTTGCCGCTGGGGCCTTCGGTGGAGCTCCCTATGGGGCCACGAACCGTGTGAAGGGTGCGCCGAAATGGGAGTGGAACCGTATGCGAACTTTGCCACCGGGGCCTTCGGTGGAGCCCCCTATGGGGCCACGAACTGTGTGAGGGGTGGGCCAAAATGGGGGGTGGAACCGCATGCGAACTTTGCCATTGGGGCCTTCGGTGGAGCTCCCTACGGGGCCGCGCACCGCGCGAAAGGTGCGCCGAAATGGGGGTGGAACTGCATGCGAATTTTGCCGCTGGGGCCTTCGGGCGCACCCCTCACACGGTACGTGGCCCCGTAGGGAGCTCCACCGAAGGCCCCAGTGGCAAAATTCGCACGCGGTTCCACCCCTATTTCGGCGCACCACGGTTCGTGGCCCCATATGGAGCTCCACCGAAGGCCAAGGCGGCAAAGTTCGCATGCAGTTCCACCCCATTTCGGCGAACGCCTCACACGATTCGCGGCCCCAGTTGGAGCTCTACTGCAGGCCTCACTGATAAAGTTCGCATGCAATACCACCCAATTTCGGCACACCCCTCACACGGTTCGTGGCCCCATAGGGGGATCCGTCGAAGGCCCCAGTGGCAAAGTTCGCACGCAATTCCACCCAATTTCTGCGCACCCCACACACGGTTCGTGGCCCCATAGGGAGTTCCACCGAAGGCCCCAGTGGCAAAGTTGGGGACCGTCTCTTCAAAACGACGAGGACCCAACACCACAGGATGGTTGGGAATGAGACAGAGAAAGAGATAGACATAGAGACGGGGGAGGATGAGAAGACGGAGGAGGAGGAGGACGAGGAAAAGCAGGAGGAGAGAGGGAGAGGGGGAGGAGCAGCAGGAGGAGAATGAATAGGAGAAGAAGGAGGAGTAGGAGAAGAAGGAGCAGGAGGAGGCAGACGACAACAATGATGAAGGGGAGGAGGAGGAGGAGGAGCAGGAGGAGGAGGAGGACGAGGGGGAGGAGGAGGAGGAGGAGGAGGAGGAGGAGGAGGAGGAGGAGGAAGAGGAGGAGCAGCAGCAGCAGGAGAGCTACCTACCACAAAGCCGAGGCTGCCCTCCAGCGCGCTGCCTCGAAAGTTCGACGCGGACTGGGTGCTGCCACAGTCTGAGGGGCAGCAGGCTGCGAAGGCTAACAGCGCGGCAGAAGCGTGGAAGGGGCATGAAGAAGCGAGGAAGGAGAGAGGGAGTGAAGGACAGATGGAAGGACAGAGAGGGAGGCGGGAGGGTGGGAGGAGGAGGGAGGGTGGGAGGAGGAGGAGGGGGAGGAGGAGGAACAAGGAGAGAGAGGAGGAGGGATAGTTTAGGGGCTCAGTACGGAACCACTCCGATGTTTGCGGGGTCGGGGTTGCCAGCGGGTGATATGTTCAACGATTTGTTTGTTCGTGTGTACAGTTTAGCTGCGTTTGATCAGTTCACCCTTGAGCACCCGATGGTTTCCTTATCGTCGTATGTTGATGACGATTCGCTCACGACAGAAGGAGAGAGTGAGCTCGAGGTGCTTGATCGGATGTCCAAGGCTGCGGCGGCCATGTACATCATTTTTCGGGATCACGTGAAGGTCCAGCTACAGGCGGACAAGCTTACCACGTATGCCAGTTCCCTCTCGCTGGCGCGCAAGCTCGGCAGGCTGCTCGGCGGCATGGCGGGCACGATCACCAACAACGCGGTCGTGGTAGGAACCGACCTGGCGATGGGACAAACACGGTCGTCGCGTCACGCTTTATGGAAACGGAAGCAACGTCTCAAACGTATGTCTAAGAGACACGCCATTTTGAAAAGATATCGCGACCGTTTGCCCCGTCAGAAGGGTAGAATTGGCAAAATCTACGTGTCGGGTGTGGCCCCTGCGGCCACGCTCGGGGCCGCCATTGTCGGTATGGACGATCAGGAGATGAAACAAGCCCAGAGAGTTTTACTTGCGTACAAACCCCCGTACCACCAGGGCGTTTCGTTTCATGTCATGTTGGCCTTTTGTGGGGACCCTGCTTGGAGGGCTGGAGTTGTCCCAGCCCTGCATTGGGCTCATATTGTGTGGATTGCCCTCACCTCCCCCTCCACGTCCCACTATAACATTAAGGAGCTGTGCCAGATGTGGAATGTTATTCCTCGGGGTGAGGGGTTGTCTTGGAAGAGCTCTCGTGGGCCCATCCAGAGAATGCATCTCTCGCTCAATAGGATTGGCTGGCAATCTGTGTCGGCTCTGGCGTGGGTCGATGATTTCAACAGGGTGGTTCACCTTGGTTTCAATTCCCCCTCCCTCGTGGCTCAGTTACTTCAGCTGGGGACCCAGAGGCATCACGAGAGGGTCTTGGCTGAGCTCTCCCCGTCGTTTGTCGGTAGGAGGGTGTGCACGGAGCCTCTGGTTAAGCTCCTTGGCCCCACTAGCAAGAAACTGAGCACGAGAGAAAAGTACTTGGCTGTCACCGCGTTCTGCGCAGTCGTGTGGACACGCGCACGAGCACGGGCGGCAGGCTACAATTGTGACGGAGGGTGTCCGTTGTGCGGTCGCGCTGACGGTGTGAAGCACCGTGCTTGGGAGTGCGACCATCCAGACGCTGCGCAGGCTCGCCAGGAAGTTACAGACGACCATCCCACTTGGCTGGCCGAGGCGATTAGCAGTGACGACTGTTGTTTCTGGGATGAGCTGAAATGGGACCAGCCTGGGTCCCGAACGCCCTGCCCCAGCGACGACCCCAACCCCAAGTTGTATGATCCTTCAGGCAAAGAAATCCGATGGGATTTCGTGGACCTCCGAGGCCTCGACGTCTGCATGGATGGGCCGTGCGATCGGCATGTGATTAGGGAGTTGTCTCGTGCCGCCTATGCCTGGGTCTTTCTGGACGACGCTGGTGAGGTGCGAGCCTTCGCCAAAGGAGCGGTGTGGGACGTCTTCCAGCAGACCCCCCAGGCGGCCGAGCACCAGGCTATGGCGGTGCTGCCTATGTTTGTTGAGTACAACGGTGACAGATACTCGGATTGCGCTACGGTGACTAAGTTGTGTAACGCTGCGTCGCATCACCAGGTGTTTTACAAGCATCGTTACGGAGGAATGCGTCGGGGGGCCGTGCTCTATGAGAAATCGGACCATGAGTTTCGTGTCTTCCATACCCCCGCTCATAGATCTCAGGAGGCCCTCGACAGTCTCCCTGAGCCCGAGAGGAGAATCGGCATAGGTAATCGGTATGCTGACAAGCTTTCCTCCTCCACCCCCAAGCCTCCGAAGCTCTCTATCAAGAGGTTAGCGAGCAGATTGACAAATTAGTGCTTGCGGCCAAAGTCATGGCCAAAGATTTGTGCGTTTTCCCCGTCGAGAGGTTCGAAAGGAGTCCTTTTTCTGGACCTTGGCTTAAGTTCCTCAGGTCTGGAGGCTGGCACCACTGGGAACTTTTGGACGCGGGTCGTTCTAGGTGCCTCAGGTGCCTGCAGTTTTGGAGGGACCCTGGCACCTGTCCGCTGTTGGGTTGCAAGGGCCCCAGCAAAACATGGCTTGGAGTTTTAGATTTCAGCAAGGGCCACACGCTGGCTCAGACCGTTGTCTCACGCGGAGACAAAGAATCGAGCCTGTTCTTTTGCACCACGTGCGGCGCTTACACGTCGCGTCGTTGTTTCAAGTTGGGCCAGGAGTGCGTCGGCCGAAGATGGTCAGGGGGCAAACCCACCCTGCCTCGCATTGTTTCTGGACTCCACCCTCATTACAGGAACGAGGATCGTGTTTCCCAGTCCTCTCGGAGGGGGATCAATTATCTGTGTTATGCGGCCACTACCCCTTGCCCCTCCCGAAGTCGCAACGCCAGCTGCGGGAGCGGAGAAGTTTGTTCAGACGCCTGGGATGCTTGCGCTGCTAGCGCGCGTCCGGGCGCGAGAGTCTGCCGCCGCGCCTGTGACGCAGCGTGGCCGCGCAGTCCTCCCACAGCAGGTGAACGCAGAGTCTTTGCTCAGGGCACCTGAATCTGCACTTGGTTCTGTCTGATGCCTCTGCTGTTGTTTCAGAAGCCTGGGGTGAACCTGACATGCAGGTAAACCCATCCCAGGCTTGTGTGCACAGTGTGTGCCGATGCGGCCCGTGCTGCATCTGTGTCAGGGCTTAACTGTCGCCCCTTCGGTCCTGCCCACTGGCTCGCAGAGGAGAAAAGGGAGGAGGAGGGAGGCGGGAGAGATGGATGGAGGAAGGGAGGGAGGGCGAGGCAGCTCGCCCTCCTTCGCTCGCCGGTGTCAGCGCTCGCGCTGCCCCTCCTCCCCGTCCAGCCCTCCTCCCGGAGAAGGGAGAGGGAGGAGGAGGAGAGGGAGGAGGAGGAGAGGGAGGAGGAGGGGGAGGAGGAGGAGGACAGGGAGGAGGAGGAGGAGGAGGAGGATCTGAGGAGGAGGAGGAGGAGGAGGAGGAGGAGGAGGGGGGGACAGGGAAGGAGGAGGAGGAGGAGGAGGAGGAGGAGGAGGAGGAGAGGAGGAGGAGCTGGAGGAGGAGGAGGAGGAGGAGGAGGAGGAGGAGGAGGAGGAGGAGGAGGAGGAGGAGGAGGAGGAGGAGGAGGAGGAGGAGGAGGAGGAGGAGGAGGAGGAGGAGGAGGAGGAGGAGGAGGAGGAGGAGGAGGGAGGAGGAGGAGGAGGAGGAGGGGAGGAGGAGTGGAGGAGGAGGAGGAGGAGGAGGGAGGTGGAGGGAGGAGAGGAGGAGGAGGGGGAGGTGGGTGGAGGAGGAGGGGAGGAGGAAAAGGAGGAAAGAAGAGGAGGAGGAGGAGGGGAGGCGGGGGAGGAGGAGGAGAGGAGGAGGAGGAGAGGAGGGGAGGAGGAGGAGAGGTCGGAGGAGGAGGAGGAGGAGGAGCGTAGGAGGAGAGGAGCAGGAGGAGGTGGAGGAGGAGGAGAGGAAGAGAGGAGGAGGAGGAGGAGGAGGAGGAGGAGGAGGAGGAGGAGGAGGAGGAGGAGGAGGAGGACCAGTGTAAGCCCAAGGGTCATCAACGATGTTGGAATAAACCCTCCCTTCAAGATCCCTCTTCGCAGGCCCCTACAACTGTTCATTTTGATTGAAGGAGCTGCCTCTTTGGAAGACAACCGTTGGAAGACCCTGCAGCATGCCAAAACATTGTTCTCGGGATTGAATCAACCTCACACCTTGATAATCCTGAATCGTCCCACAACGCCCTCCCTGGGATTTCAACGCAGCGAATCAACGTAATTGCTGCACCCGCATAACCCTGAACCCCTTCAAAACACAAGTTTTGGCACGTTGATGCGTTGATGATTGGATTCCGTGGAACTCTTGTTGCAAATGTTTAAGACGAATGCGCACCGCGCTAAGGCGAGAACCACATTCTGAAAAGGAACCGCCCTCAGTATGCGAAACTCTTGCAAGTTGTTGTAACGAATGCGCGCCGCGCTAAGGCGAGAGCCAATATTTGAAAACCACCTGCCTTCAATCCGTGAAGCTTTTGCAAATGTCTAATACGAATGTGCGCCGCGCTAAGGCGATAGCTACATGTTGAAAACGACCCGCCCTCAACCCGTGAAACTCCTGCAAATGTTTAAAACGAATGTTCGTCGCGCGAATGCGCAAACCAAATGTTGAAAGCCACCTGCCCTCAATCTGCGAAACGGTCACCAGGTTGTAAGCTTCAGAGTCATGAATGGTGAGGAAGTCTCAGGCGAACGCCTGGCCCGCCCTAAAAAATTGGCCCCGGGGCGCGACAGGGAGAAGTTATGTATAAGGAAAAGGAATGGAGGAGGAGGAGGAGGAGGAGAAGGAGGAGGAGGAGGAACAGGAGGAGGAGGACGACGAGGAGGACGAGGAGGACGAGGAGGACGAGGAGGACGAGGAAGAGGAGGAGAAGGAGGAGGAGGAGGAGGAGGAGAAGGAGGAAAAGGAGGAGGAGGAGGAGGAGGCGGAGGAGGAGGAGGAGGAGTGGAGCAGGTGCGAGGACTCTAGTTATGTAGGGCATGTGCGGCCCAGGGAGTCACGCGTTTCATTCAGTTGTCGTCCCCGTGTGCGCCTGGTCTCAGCAGGGATGGCAAGAGCACGCTCAAGAGGATAGACGAAGGGCGGCTGCCCAAAGGACTGAAGCATTGGCCAGACTCCGTTCCAGGGGCTTGAGGGGTCCGCAGTCGTCCCGCGATAGCCTGGCCGACGACCGCCCGCTGGGTTCGTCGGTCCAGGCTGCCTCGGGGAGGCTTGCGGGCTCTCCGAGCCCGCTGGGGAGACCACACTTTTCAAGTTTGTAGTTTGGTGCCCGCGATCTCGTTCCGCGGAAGAGAGACCCCAGGGGTCAGGGGAGAGTTCTCTCGCCTGCGAGGTTCTTTTTAAGAGGTGGCGAAGTAACCTTCGTCTGCGCCTCAGGTGGTAGCGCAGGAGGAGGAAGAGGAGGAGGAGGAGGAGGAGGAGGAGGAGGAGGAGGAGGATCATCAGCAGCAGCAGCAGGAGCAGCAGGAGCAGCAGGAGGGGCGGAGGAGGCGGAGGAGAGGCTGAGGAGGAGGAGGAGGAGGAGGAGGAGGAGGAGGAGGTGGAGGTGGAGGATGGAGGAGGAGGAGGGGGAGAAGGACGAGGGGGAGGAGGAGGGGGAGGAGGAGGAGGAGGAGTGAGGAGGAGGCGGAGGAGGCGGAGGAGGAGGGGGAGGAGGAAAAGGATGAAAAGGAGAAAAAGGAGGAACAGGAGGAAAATAAAGAATAAGGAGGGAACGGATGTGGAGGAGGAGGGAGGAGGAGAGGAGGAGGAGGAGGAGGAGGAGGAGGAGGAGGGAGAAGGAGGAAGAGGAGGAGGAGGAGGAGGAGGAGGAGGAGGAGGAGGGCGGAGGGGGAGTATGACGAGGAGGAGGAGGAGATGAGCAGCAGGAGGAGGAGGGAGGACAATGAGGACGAGGAGGACGAGCGAGGACGAGGAGAGGAGGAGAGGAGGAGGAGGAGGAGGAGGTGAGGAGGAGGAGGAGGAGGAGGAGGAGGAAGGAGGAGGAGGGGGGGGAGCAGGAGGAGGAGGAGGAGGAGGAGGAGGAGGAGGCGGATTAGAAGGAGAAGGAAGAAGCCTCGGGCTTGGTTCGACTCTATCCCCCCTGCAGCCCAATCTGTCCCTCCCCTCATGCCTCCTCTCTCCAGTCCTGCCTGCCGCGCCCCTCGTTCCTCCCTCCCGCTCTCGATCCCTGACTGGCTCCTCCTGGGCGCAATATATGTGGCACCGCTCCCCGATGTGCCTGGAGGACCCGTGGATGGTCCTCCTTGATTCCCCCATTTACCCCGTCCTCCTCTTCATCCTCCGCATCTTCCTCCCTCCCTCTCTCCTCCTCGTATTCCTCCCTCCCTCCCCCTCCTCCTCTTTGTGTTCCTGCTCATCCTCCTTCCCCTCCCTCCTCATCCTGTCCCTTCTCCTCCTCATCATCCACGTTCCTCGCTTCAGTGTGCTCCAGGTGTCCTTCTTGTTTCTTGCCCACTCCGTTCGCTCGCTCGTTTCCATCTATCTCGCCCGAAATAGGTTTAGTGTCGTTCGCGGCAGCTCCGATGGGCAGAGTGGTAGGTGGTGTTCATCAGCGTGCGCGGCGGGTGCAACCTTCTCCTCCGCGGAAGAGTTGGCCCTCGAACTCCTTTCAGAGCATGCTGCTGCACCGCTGATGGAAATGGAGGACGAGGAGGAGGAGGAGGAGGAGGAGGAGGAGGAGGAGGAGGAGGAGGAGGAGGAGGAGGGGGAGGGGGAGGGGGAGGGGGAGGGAGAAAGAGCACGAAGAGGAGGGAGAAGGAGGAGGGAGGCGGAGGAGGAGGAGGAGGAGGGAGGAGAAGGAGGAGGAGGAGGAGGAGGAGGAGGACCCACCAAGTGCATGCTCTTCATCCTGACATCCGCCGGTCGCTGTTTTCAATCCGCGGCCTTGGAGGTCCTGACGGCGTCCCCGGGGATAGTTTTTCGCCCCAGATCCGCTTTTGGTGGTCCTGGGGGCCCGAAAGCGCGACCCAGAGGCCGAAATCTACGAAAAAACGCCGGCTGAAATAGTCACATTGTCAGAGATTTGGGCGCATCACCTGTCCCTCCCTCCCACCCCATGCCGTCCCACACCCAGCAGCAGTGCCCCCCTCCTACCCAGACATCAGACGTCGTGATTTTTGTTACAACGTGGGCCCCCAGAGGTCTGGACTCCTTGCCCCTGGAAGTCGCTGTTCATCCTGGGCAGGTTTTGGCACAGTCACCAAAAAGTGTCCGTCGTGATTTATGTGCAGCGCGGGGGTGTCAGGGTCCCGTGCCGCCCAACCCCCATCGACCGTTGCTTGGCCTCCCTGGCCATCAGCCGGGGGCTGCTCAGAGGGCTGTTCTAATATAGGACACACAATCTGCGTAGACGTTACGTCACTGGTCTCTTGCGCGTCTCTGGGTCGGCAGTGGTCGGAGAGCTGCTGGCCCGCCTTAGCCTCAGCAAGAGTCCGCGCGCCCCTCCCACTTCCATTTGATGACGGGCCTCGAGCGTCTTCCGTGGCCACAAGAAGAAGCAACCATTGGGCGCAGGTGATCACCAACGTCCATGGGGAGGGAGGGAGCACGCTCCTTATGGAGGGAGCACGCTCCCTCCCCAAGGAAGAGGTGATGCATCGTTCTGGGCGCAGGCGGTCACCCACGCCTTCCGCCCCGCCCGCCCCCGCGCGCGCGCGCCCCGAGCCCTCGAGCAGGCGGCCGCGAGCCTGCTGGTGTGCCGCCGGCTGCGCCTGCAGATGCTGCGGCCCCCTCCCCCGGCGCCGGGCTCAGGGCAGCCCTGCCTCCATGGGCTGAGGGTTATGATGTTCCAACCGACGTGAGTCTTGATCACCAGAACGCATGTCGAGCACCAACAAAGTACCGAAGCTGGAGGGTGTTCACGGGTCGGGTTCTGGGAGGCGATATTCGTTCGACAATGTTTCGTTTTTCTTCTGGGTGCTCGAAATCAGTTCTGGGATGTGGTCCTGAAATACGATGGGTGCAACATAGGCTGAGGGGCGAGTTCGGTAGCAAGTCATGGGAGCCTTGCATGTCCTCGCACTCCCGCCTTTGGAGTGCATTTGCGTGCGCCAGCGTCGGAAAATGGACGAGGAAGCGGCGATGTGGCGTCGATTGGCGTCAATGCAACGTCGAGTGGCGCCGCTCAGCGTCGGTCGGCGTCGGTTCGCAAGAGCCAGCAAAGTGGCCTCTTTTCCAGGCCTCCCAGGTGGGGTCGGAGTGATGGGGTCGGAGGATCGCGCCGCATCGCCGATGCATCGGCGATGCGGCTCGATTTCCACGTGAACGTTGCCTGCCGATTCGTCACCGACGCCGTCGATGCATCGGCGATGCATCGGCGATGCGGCGCAATCCTCCAACTACATCTACTCGGACCCCATCTGGGAGGCCCCTGTCGATGGGCAGAGGGGAGAGGTTCGAGGTTGCGGGATGCGGCGCCGCCGGCCCACGCATTGCACGCTGTCCCCTACCCTTGAGGATGGCGTGCACCGAAGAAAGCCGTGACAGGAGGAAGGGATCCCTCGCAGGGGGGTCGCCTCACAGGGACAGCGTGCACGGAGGAAGCCTCACTTGGGGGGGGGGGGGAGAGATAGCGCGCTTTTCGGAGATCGGTGCGCTGCGCGCCACCTTTGCGGCGCCAGCAGTAGAGGTATTCGGGCAGTTTCGTCGGCCCGCGGCGGTTCTCCAGCCGCGGGGTGCCTTCCAGCCGCCGCTCCTCGCCGAGATCATTCTGGGGGTGCCCGGGCAGCGCCGAACGGCCGCGGGAGGTCTGAGCCGTGACCCGAGCACCAGGCGGCGATGAGGAGGAGGAGGAGGAGGAGGAGGAGGAGGAGGAGGAGGAGGAGGAGGAGCCGGGTCACCCGCGGAGGCGCGAAGGCGATCGCGCGTCGCGGTCTGGGCCCTGGGCGGGGGGCTGCCCTGCCTCGGGGGTGGCGGCGCGAGGGGCGCGGAGGTGGCGGCGCGGGGCGCGGGGCGCGGGGCGACGGACCGCCCACGAGGAGACGAGCCTCGGAGAGGTGTCGCGCAGTGTCCCTGTCGTGCGCGCGGAGGGCGCTTGTTGGCGCGAAGGCGGCGGCGCGGGGCGCGAAGCTGGGTGCCCTGGGCTCGCGGCGCCACCGACGGAGGGGTGCCCAGCAGCGCGCACCTCGGCAGCGCGCAGGGAGGCGTGGCAAGAGAGAGAGTGCCGCCTCCGCACGGGACGATGCAGGAGAGCGGCACCTGCCTGCAGCGGCAAAGACGACGACGGCGACGACGACGACGACGACGACGATGACGACGACGACGACGACGGCGGCGGCGGCGGCGGCGGCGGCGGCGGTGGCGGCCACGACGACGACAACGACGACGCTGACGCTGTGGAGCCCTTCGTGGGGCCCTTTTGGGAGCCTTCTTGGGCCCTGTTGACCTGGAGCTCCAACGTCGTGACCTGTTCACAGCGTGGACCCCCAGAGGTCTGCATCCTTCCCTGGGGCCAATTTCTCATCCCGAGTCGTTGTTTGACGGTCCCGGGGCCGGTGAGGACCCCCAGGCGCCGAAGAGTGCCACAGACCTTCGGTCGTGATGTCCATCAGGGCGGCGCTGATGTTCGGCCCCTTCGGGGCGGGCGGCGTGCGCTGGCGGCACGGCGCGGTGCTCCCCCCGGTTCTCGTGGCGCGGGGGGGACACGGTGGGCGGCGACCTCGGCGGCGGGCTTGCCCTGGGAGTTCCTCCAGGGCGCGCGGGGGGGCTCATCCAGCGAGGGAGGAGGAACGCGCGCACGTGCCGCAGCCCAGCCACATGCAGCGCCCCTCCTCCTCTTCCGCCCATTCCTACTTCTCCTCCTCGTCCTCCTCCCCCTCTTCCGAATGGACGCGACCGGTAGGAACGCGGCCTCGACCTCCTCCTCCTCCTCCTCCTCCTCCTCCTCCTCCTGCTACTACTACTACTACTACTACTACTACTACTACTACTACTACTACTACTACTACTACTACTCCGCCTCTTCCTGCTCCTCCTCATCCTCATCATCATCCTCCGTATCAGCATCATCATCATCATCATCCTCATCATCATCATCATCAGCATCATCAGCATCATCATCATCAGCAGCATCATCATCACCAGCACCAGCACCAGCACCACCAGCATCATACCCATCGCAATCGTCGTCATCAGCATCGTCATCATCATCAGCAGCATCCGAATCAGCATCAACATCAGCAGCAGCACCAGCAACATTATTTGCATCATCATCAGCAGCATCACCATCATCATCAGTAGCATCACCATCATCACCAATATCGTTAGCATTCGCATGATCTGTATCATCCTAAACCTAGATATCATCAACAGCAGCCGTAGCATCGTCATCATCAGCAGCATCCTCATCAGCAGCAGCATCAGTATCATCATCATAAGCATCATCATCATCGTCATCAGCATCGTTATCATCGTTATCATCTGCATCCTCACCCTAGCATCATCATCATCAGCGGCAGCAGCAGCGGCAGTATCACAATCCTCCTCATCACCACCATCATTACAATCAGCATCATTATCAGCAGCAGCAGCCGCATCGTCATCAACATCACCATCATCGTCAACAACATTCACCGTCTTACCCACATCATCATCATCATCATCATCATCATCATCATCATCATCATCATCATCATCATCATCATCATCATCATCATCATCATCATCATCATATGTTCTGCTGTCCCGTCTGGTCGCCGAGTCACAGTGTCGTTTTTGCCTACCACCTCCACCATGATTCCAAAGCCTTCTCCATATCCTCCTCCCTCTCCACCTTCTCATCCTCGAAATCGTCACCCTTCGCCGTCTCACCGTCGTCAACAAAATCATCATTACGGCTGCCTGTCTGTGCATGTACCAACAGCACGCCGAAGACTTGGCGTACAGACACCAGGCTCTTCGCGTGGGCGTCGTCACGACTTTCCAGTGGGACACACCAGCGAACAACTGCCAATCCTTGTTCCGAAGATACTTCTACACTGCCCATCACCAGACGGTTCCAGTGAGCAGGAAGCTTGAACGCCGTCGGCACGGACGAGATACAGCTTGTATCTGACGAGCACACGGTTCTGGCAGAGAGGGAGAGGGAGTGAGAAAATAAGAGAGAGAGAGAGAGAGAGAGAGACGCACTAGGAGGTCCGCGCGGATTTCTTGGATCGGCGCTGAGCCCCCTTGACCTCTGAAAGTGTTTATTCATGTCGTTTGTTCTTCCTTAGTGGAGTTGGAATGCGGCAACGCGCGCACAGCGATGATTTTCGTTAGCTCGCGCAGCACTCTGAGTCAAGCTACCCTGTACTGAGGACAGCGCAACCCACCCCCAGCCAGGTTCCCCACTCCCGACCTGGTGATCCAGAGGGTCCTGACTGAGGGTGGTGGGGTGTTTTTGCTGGGGTTCGTTGAGGAAAAAACCGTCCTCAACCCTGGCTAGGACCCCTGGATCACCAGGTCGAACGAGCGAGTCCTGGCTGGGAGCGGAGTGGGCTGTGCTGTCCGCATGGTCCTCATGGTCTCAGCGGGTTCGAGCCGAATGCCGATAGTTTTTTCAAGGGCGCCCTCGAGGGCGCGAAGTTACTCGCGCTTCGCGGTTCGGCTCCGATTTCTCCTCCTCCTCCTCTTCCCCCCTGGGAGGCGGCGCGAGAGCGCGAAGTTATTCGCACTTCGCGCTTCGCGCAGCGCGAAGCGCGAAGTTGAGAGCCCTTGCTTGTGCATGTGCTCATCCGGCTCCGGTACAGACGCCCGCCTGCCGAGGCGCCCACCACCCCGGCGTCTGGCAGCGGCGCCCGGCCCGCTGCACCCAGCGGCGACGCGGCCGAGGCCTGGCGGCGCCCCAGAAGCGAGCTCACGGGCGGCGGCGACAGCGGCGGAGCGGCGACGGCGACGGCGACGACGACGCCGACGCCGACGCCGACGACGACGCCGACAACGACGACGACGACGACGACGACGACGACGGCGGCGGCGGCGGCGGCGGGACGAGAAGGCGACGGCGGCGATGGCGGCGGCGGCGACAGCGACGGCGACGAGAAGACGAGAAGGCGAGGGCGGCGGCAGCGGCGGCGACGTCGGCGACGGCGACGAGAAGACGACGAATACGACGGCCACGGAGATGGTGGCGACGACGGCGACGGCGAGGAGGGCACACCGGCAGGATGTTGAAGCGCCTCGGCCCTTCTTGGCGGCCTCTTTGGGCGCTCTCCGCCGCCGAGGCTAGACTTCCTTTGAAATTCTCGCCGAAGCGCACCCCACGAGAGGTCTGAGGAGGTCCGAGGTCGACCTCGACGACGACGTCGACGTCGGGGGGCTGCGCGCGCTTTCTGTGGGTTCTCGTCGCCGCGGCCGGCGCAGCTCCGAGAATTGCGCTGGACTGGCCCCAGGAGGCGGCCAGAGCCGATTATGGCTGGATCACGACGCCGACGCCGACGACGACGACGACGGCGACGACGACGACGACGATGGCGACGACGACGGCGGCGACGACGACGACGACGCCGACGACGACGACGACGACGACGGCGGCGACGGCGGCGACGACGACGACGACGGCGGAGGCGGCGACGGCGACGGCGACGGCGGGCAGGGCGGGGCGGAGCAGGGCGAGGCACAGCAGGGCAGGGCAGGGCAGAGGAGGAGGGCGTCGACCCTCGCGGCTCGTGGGGGAAGCTCGGCGCGAGGGTCGCGGACGTCGATGACGTCGAGGACGTCGAGGAGGGCGTCGACCCGCGAGGGTCGAGGGCGAAGCTTGGCGCGCACGCTGGCGGCCCCCGCCCCAGGAGCGGAGCCCGATGCACGTGGCCGAGGAGGCGCTGGACGGCTACAGGGAGGGTCAGACCTTCGAGCTGGACAGGCTGCCGCGTCTGCTTCTGGGGGGGGGGGGGGGGGGCTTTGGTCCTCCAGGGTTCCCTCGTTATGCCTCCTCCTCCTCCTCCCCCTCCTTCTCCTCCTCCTCCTCCTCCTCCTGCCTCCTTCTTCCTCCCTCCTCCTCCCTTCTCTTCCTCCCTCGTCCCCCGCCCCCTCCACATCGCGCGCTCGCCCGCACACTGAAGGCAAGTTGAGGTTTGCTGCCTGCCCCTCCACCTCCTGCTCCTGCTCCTCATCCTCCTGCAGCTGCTGCTGATGCTGCTAAAGACTGTCTTGGTTTGTGGCCAGAAGCCCGTGCCCCCTCGCCGGCTCCCGTGTGGCAAAGATGGGGCTATTCCGAAAGCGGCTCGCTTGCGGCCGTTGGTGAGGCCAGCGAGCGGGACGGCACGGGGGGGGGGGGCACGAAGGGGGACCGAAGAGAGGGCGAACCTAGGGACCGAGCGAGCGAGGAGGGACAAGAGGGACGCGTAGGTGGCGGGCCGCGGGCTGGCGCGCTGACCCCCCAGGGTGCACCGCCAAGGGGGGGGGGGAGGGGGGGGGGGCACCTGCCTGAAAGCCTCGCGGCCGCTCTGGTTCTGGTCGGGGCCGAGGCGGGTGTTGCCACCCCCAGGGGTGCCGTCGGTGTGGTCGTGGGGAGGTCGGGAGCGTGTGCGCGTTGGGCAAGGGTGGGGTGGGTGGAGTGGGGAGGTCTTCGCATGGGTGCGTCAAGATGGCGATCCAGGGGTGGACCTGGCCCGTGCCACGGGCCGGCTACCCATGCGGCGGGAGGGGAAAGGGAAGGAGTGGTCGGGGTTGACCAAGTCTTAGGCTGGGGTCGTCGCTGTAGGGTACAGCTGTTCCCTGCTCTCGGTGGCCATCCATCCCTGCGTGGGTGGATGGCTGGTGCAGTCTATGGTGCGTCGGCGAATCGCACGCGCCGAACAGGCCTCATGTCGGCAGGGGCGGTGTCGATTGGGAGGGCGTCGGACTCTACGTTCCGCGTTGCTTGGGCGGGGGCTTCGTCGTCATCGGGGTTATGGACGCCAGGCAGGGCGTCGGTGAAACGCACCCGGCGTGGGGAGGGATCGGGAGGGGCGTCGGAAGGACAGGTCGGGTGGGGCGTCAGGTGTGGGAGTTCGTGCGTCAGGTCGGCCGCTAGGTGGTCCAGCGCCTTGAGTTCCACCTCCATCTCGCAGATTTTTTAGAGCTGTTGTTGCCAGGCCGTATTGACCCGTCGGCGCTCGTCGTGGAGGTACCGGATCTGAACGTCAATGGCGCCGGTGCCGGCGAAGTCGTCGATGTGGGTGCTGGCGGCGGCGCCGGCGACGGCGAGGACGAGTTGGGTTCAGCGGACCTCGAGGTCCCACAGGGTGAAGGTCATCCGCTTGGGGGCAGGACAGCGTCGCGGGTTTGGGCATCGCGGGGAAGGTATCGAACGTCGAGTCCGTCGGGTTGGGGTGGAGGGTCGGGTGGGGCAGCGGGTAGGGCGTCGGGCGTGGGGTGGTCGCGGGGCGAGGCGTCGGGTGGGGAGTGGGGTGGGGCGTAGGGCTGGGAGTGGGGCGAGGCGTTGGGTCGTCGCGGTAAGCCGTCGTGGGAGGGCAGAGCGTGGGGCAGGAGGTTTGCAGCGCTGACCGCACAGCCGAGGTGGGTCCAGCAGTGAGTGGGCCGCGGTGAGGCCGCATGGCGAGCCGTCGGGTAGAAAGGGTGGGGGCGGGCGTCGGCGTGGGAGCTGGGCAAGGCGTCGGGTGGGGAGTCTCGGGCAGGGTATCGGGTCGTCGTGGCGGGGAGCCCTGTGAGGGCGTGGGGCCGTCGCAGGGGAACGTCGCGGGTGCCCTTGGGTGGGGGGTCGCGGGGTCGAGGGGGCCGTCGGTTCGGGCGAGGGGCCGTGGGGGACTTCGTGGGGGCCGTCGGGCGGGGGGGTCGCGGGGCAGCCGCGAGGGGTCGCGGGGGCGGGAGCAGGGAAGGGCCGGAGCGGCAGGCAGAGCGTGCGGCGGGGAGTCGGGCGGGGGGTCTTCGCGGCATGTCCTGGCGTGGTCGTGAGGGCCGTCGGGGCGAGGGGCCCCTGCTGAGGGCTCGTCGTCGCCCTCGTCGCCGTCCGCCAGGCATGCGTCCTCCTTGCCCTCGCTCTTCCTGGTGTTGTCGATGCCCTGCGTAGGCGTTGACTTTCACGCCAGCGTACTTCTCCTCCAGGTCGAAGTCCTCCTCCAGCACGCGCCCGAAGTCATCCTCGTGGCCGAGGTCGTCGCCGACCTGGCGCGGGGCAGCCGCCTGGTGTTGGTCAGCTCCAGATTTCGTGGCGGAGCTAGCCGTGGCGACGGGATTGGGGTCCTCGGCGACGTAGCCCGAAGGGCTTCCCCCCCCGCCTCCCCTCCTTCTCCCCTTCCCCGGCTCCTCCGCCGCAGGGCTTCGCTGGATGGTATAAAAAAGTGTCTGCCGCTGCGCAGGCTGGACAGGATCGTCTGCGGCGTCGTGACGCCCCACGGCCGCCACACGCGCTACTTTGCGCCCGGCCCAGCGGGCCTCGGCAAGCGGCGGCTGGCACGGCGACCAGAGGGGGGAGGGAGAGGAGAAAGGAGGAGGAGGAGGAGGAGAAGGAGGAGGAGGAGGGGAAGAAGGAGGAGGAGGAGGAGGAGGAGGAGGAGGAGGGGAAGAAGGACGAGGGAGGAGGGAGGGAGGAGGAGGAGGAGGAGGAGGAGGAGGAGGAGGAGGAGGGGAAGAAGGAGGAGGGAGGGTGGAGGAGAAGACGAAGAAGAAGAAAAGGAAAAGAAGAAGAAGAAGGAGAAGGAGAAGGAGAAGAAGGAGAAGAAGAAGGAGAAGAAGAAGAAGAAGGGAGGAGGAGGTGTCTTAGAAGGGGTCAGCCAGAAAGCACCAGTTAGCCTGGTGCTGCAAAAACTCGAGTAGCGCTACATCGCGTTGCTGATCGGCCAGCCAGTGGAGGCTAAGGACCAGGACCGCCCCAAGGTACGCGCCGGGAGGAAACGGGAGGAGCCTTCTAATTGTAACTCCTGGTATCGCTCGGACGTGTGCATCCTTTCCCCAGCGAGAACCATCGAGGGGCATCCTGGTTCATCGTGGGCCAAAACAATACACACCCGATATCAAACATACAAGGAAAAATGTGCGTCCGAGCGATGGCCAGAACGTGCCGCGTTGCCGGGGCGTGCGCGCTGAGTTGCCCAGAAGCTGGGCTGGGAGCCGACCTGCAGCTGCTGGACCCCAGGGGCAGAGGCGAGGGAGGCCTCGCCCTGGAGCTGCTGGGCAAGCCAGTTTGCGGGGCAGGGTGGTGCAGTCGGACCCAGAGATCCAACGCATTGCAAAAAAGCAAAGGCGGCGGTGTTTCTCAGTTTTCGGCCTCTAGGGGCCCTCGCCAGGCCGCGGGACCGTCAAAAAACGACTCAGGATGGAAAACAGGTCCTGGGGAATGGGTCGAGACTTCCGGGGACCCCGTATTGAAAAAATCACGACATCGGATCTCTGTGGACCGATGTATCAGATCGAGGTCGGTTCGGGGAGGCTGCCCTAGTGTTCTCCGTGTTTGTTTGGTGCTCTCGTGCACCTGGAGGAGGGTGCCCTCGGATGTGATGTGCGTTTGGACCGGCGGAGGGTCTCGCTTCCTTGAGTTTTGTCTTAGGCCCGGCTGTCGAAGGAGAGGACAGAAGCTGAAGAAGTGAAATGGGGGGTCCAGCCAACTAGCCTGCCACATCGCCATGTGAAGCATTCGAGAAACGGCCTCGCCTTCGAGGATCGAAGGAGTTGGCATGTCTCCCCCGGCAGAAGGCCGGCGGAAGCCGGCGGAAGGAAAGCGAGGCCGCTTCCGCAGTCGAAAGCCAGCGGAAGGCCGGCGGAAGGCAGCGGAAGTAAAAGAAGCGCCCCCAAGGGATGAAAACGCATTTGGGTTCAGGGTTTCTGGAACCCCGCCTTGGAAGAATGTCGGGCATAGCCAGGACCCTGGTTAAGGGGAGCCTGTTAGTGAGTGGGCCCCGAAACCCAAAATATGGACTTGAATCACTAAACCAGGTCTGCCGTAGCTGACGCTTTCTGGGTGACGGCAATTCCGGCTAGTGGCAAACAAAAAAAACCTGCCGCCGAATGCCTGGTGGACCTCGTACTGGACGACAGGAGGGTCACCAACAAGGGCCTTTGTATGCTACGCGATGCAATTCTTCACGCTTCGCGTATCCCCACCAGCTCATACCGCCCTCTGGACTTCTCCTTGCGGGCCGCGAATCAAAAGTATCCCCACCAGCCTGTGCATGTGCATATGCAAACCTGCGTGCAGGCGCGTCTCGGCTTGTCATCCTGGCTGCTGCGTTCGCTAATTCGCACTGTGCCGCTGCCCCGGACACTGCTCTCGCCGCCAGACCGTTGTCGCGCGGCCGCAATAAAAAAAATCCCCACCAGCGTTATGGTCGCGCCGCCGCGCCATTTTGGCTGCGTTTACTTGCTGGTCGCCACCGGGATTTCCAACGCCACCGGGTTTGGGAGGGCCGGTTCTGGCTCTCCTTCTGAGGGGCTGCCCGGTCGCTCGCTTCACGTGCCTTTCTGTTCTTGCTGCCTAGTCGCGGCCCGACTAGTGTTCGGACGGTTTTCTACCCGCCTCGCGAGCCTGTTGACCAAAAAGTATCCCCACCAGCCCATTTAGAAACCCTGCCCATGAGAGCTGACAGGAAAAGGGGCGAGCAGACACACATAGCGAAACAGAGCGGACAACCAGGGTGAACAGAGAGATCTCTGGAGCAAGGGGGTGGCTTTGGAGGGCCTCTTCGGGCCATCCTTGGGGCCCGCGCGGGGGCGAAGGTGGACAAGGAGGAGGAGGAAGACGACGACAACGACGACGACGACGACGACGACCACGACCACGACCACGACCACGACCACGACCATGACGACGACGACGACGACGACGACGACCAGAAAGAGGAGGAACAGAGAAAAAAAGACGATGAGGGCAAGGACGAGGAGGAGGAGGAGGAGGAGGAGGAGGAGGAGGAGGAAAGGAGGAGGAGGAAAGGAGGGGCAGGAGAAGTCAAAATCGCTTCTCGGAGCCCTCTTGGGGCTCGTTGGCGGATTCTGGGGTCTTCTGAGGGCTCTTTTGGGGGGGTCTTGGGGCTCGTTTGGAGGCTTATTGGAAGCCCTGGAGGGCTTCTGGGGTCTTTCGTAGAGGGCGTCGGTGAAAAGAGAGGGGTCGTAAGGTTTGCCCCCCCGTCTGGGGCCCTCAAAATCGTCCCTTGGGGTCCTCTTGGGGCGCTCTTCGGCCGCTCTTGGGCGGTGCTGTGGTTATCTAGGGGGCCTTTTGGGCCCCTGTTGGCGCTCACTTGAGCCGTCTTGGGGCAATATTGAGGCCTTGAGGCCTCAAAGCGCATCGGATGTGAAAAGGCGAGAAGGCCAAATTCACTGACGTTCCTAAGGTACTTGCAGGATGTTGGCCTCTTGGGGGGGTGGGGGCTGAGGGGGGCCCGAGAGCGCTTGGAACCGTCTTGTGGCCCCACTCGGGCCTTTTGGACGTACGTCAGAAGCCATCTAGAACCATATTCGGTCATCTTGAGCCTCCTTGCAGGCCATCTTGGAGCATCGGAGGCCCTCTTGGAGCCATCTTGAGCGAAAAAGGACCCTCTGACACATCACGGGCCGCTCAACAAAACCTCAGTGCCCCTCCCCGAAAGTAGAAGGAGGGATTTGGATGAGGAAAGAAAATGCACCCCCAGGCCGAAAGTGTTTTTCCTCTTGGACTAAAATATGAGAACACCAATGGGTCCAATTGGATTGTTTTCGGGTGTGGGAGAGTTTCGTGGATCCTATTTCCGTGCTGCGCGGATCCAATTTCCTGTGTGTGGAAAAAAACGATGGATCCATCTATTTCCCAGGGATATCTATATATATATATATATAGAAGAAGAAGAAGAAGAAGTAACATCCGGGACCCTGGGGAAATGGGATCCGCGGAGCACCGCAAGTGAAGCATCATGCTATCCACGGAGCTGTGGATGTGCAGACCAATGCTATGATTCTACGGGGGAGGGGGGGTCTTCCCGGGATGAAGACGGGAAGGATGAGGGAAGAGGCGAGACGAGGTGGGAGGATAACAGAGGGGACGCAGGGGGGAGAGAGGAGGAATAATCAGGGAAGAGAGGGGGGAGGAGGAAGGAAGAGGAGAAGGAGGAGGAGAAGGAGGATGAGGGAGGAAGAAGGAGAGAGGAGGGAGGCGGACGGACGAAAGAGGAAGGAGGAGAGGGAGGAGGTGGGAGGAGGAGAAGGGAAGTGGGAGGAGGAGGAGAGGAAGGGATGAGGGAGGGCGAGGACACACAAACAAAGTGTCCAAGTCGGAAGCTCGAACGCCACAGCGGGCCCGGCCGCTTCCCTTCAGCTCTCCCATAACATGTGGTTGCTAGATCGCCGCCGCGGGCCTGGCCATCTCCTGAAAGTCCTCCCATAACAGAAGTTTGCTCGAACGCCACAGCGGGCCCGGCCAACTCACGCATTTCCACCCATAACATATCTACCCCACCTCGAAGCGAGCGCTACATGTATCCGCTCACCTGAACGGCGCGTCGTTTCCGACATGTGGGGATCAAGAGGAAAATCTCTTGGCCTGCGGAAGTGGGATTTCGAATTGCGTCTCCCCCGCCAACGCTTTGCATTCTTTCGCAAATTTCTGGGTATGGTGGGTGTGTTCTGTCACCGCCGCCCCTGCGTGGAAGTGCGGGAGGGGTGCTAAATCTTGCATCCCCAGGCCGAAAGTTTTTTCCTCTTGGATTAAAAATATGAGAACATCAATGGATCCAAGTGGGTCCTTTTTTTCGGGTGTGGGAGAGCGTCGTGGATCGTATTTCCGTGCCGCGCGGATCCAACTTCCTGCGTGAGAAAAAAAACATGGATCCATTTATCCGTAAGGGCTTCGCCCCCTGCCGCCGGCCCCCTCTCTCGGAGAATGGGCCATGGAAGAGCTAAGTCATGAGGCCTTGGCGCTGTCGTGAAGCAGTATCGAAACTTAATGCGAAGCCGATTCGCAATCAGCAAAACCAACTGATCACAAGAGGGGTTACCACACCTGGCGATTGGTAAGACGTGTATGGTTTACGGGCTTGGTTACCACACCTTGCGATTAAAGGGCCGAGGAAGTTCTCGCAGTTTGGGTTACCACGCCTTGCGATGGATGTGCGTGATGGGTTCGAATTTCAGAAATGTGGCAAATCCCCTGTGTTTTTGGACCCTGACCCCGCGGATCTGCGTAAGGGGTGGCGCGGAATTTCAGAAATGTGGCAAATCCCATGTGTTTTTGGACCCTGACCCCGCGGATCTGCGGGAGGGGTGGCACCGAATTTCAGAAATGTGGCAAATCCCTTGTGTTTTTGGACCCTGACCCCGCGGATCTGCGTGAGGGGTGGCACCGAATTTCAGAAATGTGGCAAATCCCCTGTGTTTTTTGACCCTGACCCCGCGGATCTGCGTGAGGGGTGGCACCGAATTTCAGAA